GTGCTGATTCCTAGGGCCACACGTCCCCAATGTTTATAGCAGTGCTTTCAACAATAGCCAAATTATGGGAAGAGCTCAAATGTCCAACAACTGATGAAAGGATAAAGAAGATGTGGTGTGTGTGTGTGTGTATGTATATATGTATATATATGTGTATATATATGTATATATATGTGTATATATATGTATATATACATACATATGTGTATATATATAACGGAATACTTTCACTTGGCAATGAAAAAGAATGAAATCTTGCCATTTGTAATAACATGGATGGAACTGGATGGTATTATGCTGAGTGAGAAAAGTCACTAAGAGAAAGACTAATATATTATGTTTTCACTCATATATGGAAGTTGAGAAACTTAACAGAAGATCATGGGGGAGGAAAAAAATACATGTGTGTGTGTGTGTATATATATATGTATGTATGTGTGTGTATATATATATATATATATATATATTCACAAACAGAGAGGGAGGCAAACCATAAGAGACTTTTAAATATAGAGAACAAACTGAGGGTGGAAAGGAGTGTGGGGGGGGGGGCAGGGAAAATGGATAATGGCCATTGAGGAGGGCACTTACTGGGATGAGCACTGGGTGCTTTATGTAAGTGATGAATCATGGGAATCTACTCCCGAAGCCAAGAGCATACCGTGTACACTGCATATTAGCTAACTTGACAATAAAGGATATATATATATATCTTTACATACATATATATATATATATATATATGTATATATATCTTTTCTCTTTGCTATGCCTTATTAAAGCATCTAGGCTGCTGTCAGAGTTGGTACTTAAATGATCAGGTCTAACACTTACAGTGAGGACAGTGTAAGCTGAGTCATGGCAGGAAGCCCGTGGATAGCATGCAGTGTCTGATGGGTCAGGTGTGGGGCAGAGCCGGTCTTGGTGTACAGAAGGCAGGCTGGAATGTCCATGGTGTGGTCTCCTGTTTTGCCCAGGTTTTTTATTTTTCCTAGGCGACAGCCATTGACTACCTTGGTAAGACTCAGCTTCATTCTAAGAGATTCCTCTAGGTCCTGATAAGAAAGGAACAATAAATTCAGGAGTCCCATGACATCTAAAGGCTAAGCATTTTACAAGGAAAGTAACCCTACAAGATGATGAATGACAGCATATTTATTACTACTTCCAGTCTACAACTGTTTTAGATAGCAGGAAGAGAGAAATGGGAAAAGACCCAGACAGAATAAGATACCTTCTCCAGAGTCCTAGAGCAAAATGAATACATCAACCACATTTAAATTCAGTCACGGAATTTTTGTCTGTGCTGCAGAAGAACAAACAGAAGGACAGGAGTAAAGAAGAGTGTGCACTGATTCACCAAATGCTAACTTTCAGCCGTGAAAATGTGTATAGAGGAAGGCCACACAGTATGAGCCATACTGATTTCTGATTTGATTCATTTTTTTTCTTTTTCTAATTTGAGAATACTAAGCAACATAGCAATTTTTCCTAACATGTTGTTACATAAAGAAAGCAGGTTCCAGGGGCACCTGGGTGGCTTAGTCAGTTAAGTGTCAGACTCCTGATTTCAGCTCAGGTCATGACCTCACGGTTCACGGGATCGAGCTCTGCAACGGGCTCTAGGCTGACAGGGCAGAGTCTCCTTGGGATCCCCTCTCTCCTTCTCTTTCTGCTCCTCCCATACTAGTGCATGCATGCTCTCTCTCCCTCTCTCTCTCTTAAATAAATAAACACTAAAAAAAGGTGTTTATTAAATTGCATGGAACAATATACATGAAAAGATAAACAGAGATCATCTCTGAGAGGTGACATTATCTGCCAATTTGTTCTTATATTGTGTCCAAATAGAGGTGAGAAACTGCATGCAATTCATAAGCAATTTAGCATTACTTTTATCAGGGATCTTGGTGGACTAGCCCCTTTTATGTGGCAAACGCTGGAGCCTGATTTTGTCCACATAACCAGCACAGATCCACCCTCCGGGTCAGGTTCAAACAAACTAATCTCAAAGACTGAACAACCAAATCAGAATGCACATAATTTAATCTGAGAACCAAAAAGGAAAGAGGACTAGTTACTGCGTTCATGACCTACAGGGTGCCACATAGAAAGCCAAATGCCACGTGAATATATTATCTAGAATACGAAGGGTAAGTAATGATTATATATATAAAGATAACTGAAAGGAAACCCACTGGTTCTCTAAAATAACCAAACTCATATTCTCCAAGCTTAGACCCAGGACTCTCCAAGAGGCAAGAAACAGCTAGATCTGGAAGCCCAGACTCCTGACCTCCAAGACTTACCTTTCTCTCAGGACCTCCTAGTCCTATCCTTGTGGAAGAAAACAATAAACGTGTTCTAGGAGTTCCATCTTTTTACAGAAGAGCCTCAAATGTGACTAATCATCCACTCACTCCTGAAAGCATTTTCTCTTATCTCCCCTTCCCACTCTCTCCTCAATTGAAGAAATAGCTTTCTTCATTCTTAGCCCAAGGTCTGTCATTAAGTTCTTGGGAGCTCTAGAGGACACCGGCCACTATGTTCTTAGATGCAGAGATGGGTTCTCCTGTGATACAATGCACAAAAGTTTATTCCCGATACTGTGAAAGGTAAAATTCAAAATCCTCAGAAAGATACACAGAAATAGTGAACTTTAAAATACTAGAAAATTATAACAGAAGATGAGACAGAGACTATTCAGAGGGAAAGTATTCTAAAATCTTACACTATTTGGGAGGAGGGGAGAGATAATGAATAATGTCAAACTGTTAAGTATGTGTGTTAAAAATTTTAAAAGTAAACATTAAAAGATTAATACAGAATGCATAATTTCTGAACTCACTGTGGAGGGATGAGGGATGATAAAGAAAAATTGGTTACTATCATGAAAGGCAAAAAAGAGGAAAAGACACCAAAAAGCTAATCAAAATTAGAAAACGCAAAATAAGATGGTAAAAGTAAACTGAAATATGTCAGTAATCACAATAGAAGTTAACAATTTCAGATAATGATAACAGCAGTAAATAACATTTATTGGGCATATACTGTCCTTTACATATTAACCCTGCTAAAATATATCATCATATCAACCTCATAAGACAGATGTGATTATTAAGTGCATTTTACACATGAGAAGACTGAGGCTAATGGAGTCACCATTTGGAAAGTGGCAGAGCCAGGACTTAAATCACAGAAGTCTGGCTCTAGAAGTTGTACTCTACTAGGCTGGCAGCCTGTTCGGAGTCCCATCTAGTCCATACACATGTGCAACGTTTACATATTAACTATAATGTTACGATACAATTTTATAGTCATATTTTTCATATTGCTATAGTGTTCTTATTGTCCCTGTTTTCCCTTATCTTCCTTCTCTGCCTCTGTCCCTTCTCCCAGCCTCTGCAACCTTTCTCCATACTCATAGGAACATTTAAACATACTCATATATGGAAAGGGAGTTTTTAAAAATTTTTCTAATGTTTATTTTTTAGAGAGAGAGAGAGAACATGCGAGCGAGTGAGTGCGGGGGTGGTGCAGAGAGAGAGAGAGAGATACAGAATCTGAAGCAGGCTCCAGGCTCTGAGGTGTCAGTACAGAGCCGGATGGGGAGCTTGAACTCACAAACCTGGAGATCCTGACCTGAGCTAAAGTCCGATGCTTTGCTTAACTGACTGAACCACCCAGGAACCCTGGGTGGAGACGTTTTCTATTAAAAATGGAAAAATACTACACTGTATGCATTTCTCTGCAATTTGCTTTTCTCGTAGGAGAAAATGGGTATCTTTCCTAAAGAGGAGACACAGAATTAACTCACTCTTTTAAAATAACTACTTCGTGATATTACATAGTTTGGATGTGACACAATTTATTCAACCATCACCTTGTGATGGGCACTCAAGTTACAGAGGGGTCCTATGATCTCTGCAATAGTCTGAGGGCACAGCTTCCCCGATCTCATTTCCACCCATCTCAAATCTACTTTGCTTTATGTTTCCTGGCAAAGTGCTATGTTTATGTGGATTTTTCATCATCACAACACTCCAGTGATTTAGGTACTATCACTCTCAGTTTGCCGATGAGTAAATGGGGGGTCCGTGCTGTTTTAAACAAGTTGCCTGAGGTCAGCCACAAGGCCAGGTTCAAAGCTCCCACTGTAAGATACCACCCTGCCTTATAAACCTATTTATCCTAGAAGGTACTGTCCCCGGGAACATCTAAGTTCTGTCAATAAGGATGGATTTTTCTTCACTCCATGGGTCACCTCCAGTGGCCTCAGACCCCTCGAAGCCCTGAGCTCAAGGATTCGAGATCTTCCCAACCCTCCCAGGTACCCTGTGACTTCCAGGAAACACTTCCGGTTGAGAACTGGATTCTTGAGCAGAGTCCAGTCAAAAAGGGGCCCTTTTCTCTTAGAGGTGAAGTGAAGCTTACACGATTTGGGAGAGACTGGATTTAGAGAAGCCAAAATCCATCAGAAGAGCCAGAAAAGGGAAGGAGAGACATGGCAGGAGTACAACTACAGTTACTGCAACACAACCAGTAAGCGTCTGGGAGCGACGCGACTCATCCACTCGCAGTAGCCCCCATTTTATGAGAAAAAGGAGGGACTTACCTGCACAACTCCCAACTTTTTTGGCCCTGGGACCCGTCAAACTCGTCGCAGTTCGTCACCACGTGTCCGGCTTGCAGGATTCTCGGCCCCCAGAACCACCGCCTCCGATGCAGAGCCAATCAGGGAGCATTGCGTCATCACCGAGCGCCAGTGAAAGGCAAAGGTAATCTCAAAGCTAGCTCTAGTGACTGTAAGGGCGCCGGACCGCAGCCGTTGCCATGGGTTACCGAGCTAACTTGTTCCGCCTGCGCACAGCCTCCTGGGAGTGGTGGTTCGGCGGCGTCGCACACCCAGCTTCTTTGCAGGCAGAGGAACTACAACTCCCAGGGCGACCCGGAAGCAGCCTAGGCAACGGAGCGGTCGTTCCTGCTTTGTCTTGGTCCCGGCCTGAACCTGGAAAATGCTGCTGGCGGCCCAGGAAATGTCCTCCTCAAGGAAGAGGACGGGGTCGAATCGCTGGAAACAGTTTACCGGGAAGCCGAGTCCCAAGGTGATCCATCCCAATTGAGAGCTCTGGGGGGCGGGGACCGGCCCCGTGGCCAGCCCAGCCGGGCTGCGCTTCCCCCTTCTTATCCCCAGGGGCATCCATACTGGCTCCCCCTTGCCTCGACTTCCCCGGTGAAAGGGCCTACGAACCTTGGGGTCTGGGTACCTTTCGGCTTTAATGGGCAGTGTCGTGAAAGAACTGTTTTCATCAAATGCTTTCCACACACCGGAGAGGTCTGGTGGTACCCATCTGGGTGAAGAGAATTCGCCAATTCCCTCGCAGCCCATTCCCACCTCCATAAATTTAGGGAACGTCCCACACATTTCATTGTTTTTAAAATGGTTTACAAATTTTAGATCTTTATTGGAAGGGGAAAGTCGTCACGTTAAATCCTACGCCTCATAGTTCTCCCCTTCTAATTTTACATAAATTATCAAAAATGAACTCAGGAATGCAAGTGGATATTGAACAGACCAATACTTGATTCCCACTTGACATTTTCTGAATTCAACCAACATTCAGAAAAATAGGTCCTTTTTATATCTGTTATCTCCTTGGATGCATTAGCATATGAAGACATGGGTAACTGATAACCCCGTTTTAAACTTGAAACATACGTAAATGCCATGTGCAAAGTCACAGTCACACGGTGTGTGCTTTCCACAGACTACCTTTTTAACAGTCACAAAAATAAATGCTTTAAATGTGAGAGTACTAAAATGGAGTGGCTTCTCAGCTTTCAGCTCCTGAGCAGTTTCACCAGCTGTTTTCACCCTCAAGTTACACTTTTTTGAAAAATAGATATTCTATAGACACGTGACCTTTCTTAGGGCCCTAGGCAATTGTGCTTACAGTTTATTTTAAATATACCAGCTGAATAATGCACCAGACACAGTCCACTTGGTGAATATCTTGCCCAGAATATGGGAGGGTGGAGGTAGGCGTATTAGAGAGACTTGGAAACAGAATCTGCTCATTTTGTAATGTACTAGTTTCACAGTTGATTGGATCTCAAATAGGTTATTGGTATAGACTTGATGATGAAAGGTAAAAATTCGGGACAATTTCTTAAGACTCCAAAAGGAAGGATTTTTGCTGCTAGTGCTCATTGTAACTGCCTAGAGGATAATACGGTAAAAGCACAAGAGCTTCTTGAGGTTCAGTTGTGTTTTAGTAGGATCAGCTCTTTCTTTGTTGCAGTGAAAAAGTTATTCAGCTATATGGCTGCATTAATTAGTTATCTTGAGGTACTTTGAAGGTGAAGTGTTATGTAAGTGAAAAAGAGTATTATATCTTTCCTTCCTCCATGTGACAGTGTGTTAGTTGAGATATCCCCTTCTTTATTTAAAGATCCACCTGAATTAATAGCAAAGCAAATACATACCTCTATTTGTTATGTGACTATTAGGGGGAATTTGACCAGCTTCTAAGAGTTACAGTGAGTGAAGAAAGTGTCCTACTCGTCTGATTTCTAATTTCAGCTTGATATGTGACCGATGTGGGTAGAAGTATTTGTGATCTTCATTTTCTGCTTTGTAAAACAGTGGAAGATTATCCCTCACCACACCCTTTCCCCCCAGTTTTTTTTGTGCCAAACAATATTCCTTCTATAGGTAATATAGGAAAGCTCCTTGCTACAGGTTGTTCTAGAAAAGAAGGGCCCAGGTCAAGCAACATACCCTTCTCCAAGCAGATTTGCTTCCATGATATTTGAATGATCTGGCTGATGAATCAGTGCTTATTTGGGTTTTTATAAGGAATATCGTATTTATCATTCCTCTATTTTGGTTCTGGAGAGCTTTAGGAAAAAAAAATATTGATACCTGGGCCCTATTCCAGACCAATTAAATCAGAATCTGCAGGTGGTACTAGGCAGGAGATAAAAACAGACAGAAGATGTTCAGAGAAGACTTGGTGTTTTTTCCTCTGACCATCTCTGTGTTCTTTTCTTGCTAAACTTGCTAATGAAATGCCTTGAGGAAAGAAAAAGGACACTTTTTCATATGCTTTAGTCAGAAAGATAGATTAAAAAGGCAAAGTAGATAAAGTTATCGCTGTGTATTAATATTCTGTATATATTATCTACAGCCTGCCTTTGACCCTGAAAATGTGGAACACTGGATTAAGGTAAGGATATTGCACAGTTAAGGTAGCAAGAGAGTTAAGAGTCTGATATAATCGGATGGAAAGGAATACTAATAAATCTCCATTTTGCACATTTTGCTGTTTTTATTCTCATGTTAACTATGTTGCCTTAGTTTTATATTCTTCAGTATTTTTTTCATTCTGTTGCTTCTCATGAAAGTATGAATGACAAGAAAAGGAGTATAGACATGCTCTTTCAAATGCTGTGAGGATCACGTGAAGAAGATTAAAGGAGCAGGAGAGGAGGAGCTGTAAGAGAGAAAGTGGCTGCCTTTCTGAGATATTGGAAAGACTGTCCTGTAGTTACATTGATCTATGGGACCAATGCATTAAGTGAAAGCTATGCATACATCAGAAGAATTTTCTAATGACTGAAGGGATCCAAACATGCAGAGGACATTCTCTTTATAAAGAGATATATTTTCTTTTTTCTTTTTTTCTTTTCTTTTTAAATTTTTAAAAAATGTTTTATTTATTTATGAGAGAGAGCGAGGCAGCGTGAACAGGAGAGGGTCAGAGAGATACAGAATCTGAAGCAGACTCCAGGCTCTGAGCTGTCAGCACAGAGCCCGACGCAGGGCTCAAACCCACAAACCGTGAGGAACCCACGAACCATGAGATCCTGACCTGAGCCGAAGTTGGATGCTTAACCTACTGAGCCACCCAGGCACTCCTCTTTTTTTTTTTTTTAATTTTTTATTTATTTTTGAGAGTGAGCAAGCACGAGCGAAGGAAGGGCAGAGAGAGAGAGAGAGGAGACACAGAATCTGAAGCAGGCTCCAGGCTCCCAGCTTTCAGCACAGAGCTCACAAACCGTGAGATCGTGAACTGAGCCAAAGTCAGAGATTCAACCAACTGAACCGCCCAGGTGCCCCAAAGAGATATATTTTCTATCAATGGAGGTTTTCAAGTGGATTCTAAATGGCCACTTAACGTTAGACTAATGAAGAATATGTTTGAGCATTCTGTGAGGGGAGATTGGATTAGGTAACTTTCTGAGCTCTCTTCCAGGCCTGAGATGTATATTTTTGAGTCCAAGTACCATTTAAGTTGAAAGTACCATTAAACTACTTCAGGTGCCTGCCTCTGAGTGTCAGCTTGGCAACTTGCCACACTCCATTCATTTGCGCAGCATATATTTCAAAGTCATGTAACATTTTCCTGGGAAAATATCATTCTGTCTTGTAGTATTTTGAAGAGCTATTACTTACCTAAATTGACAGGCATTATGAGCACCAGGCCAGATGGAACCTAGGCTAGATGTAATCAATGTTATTTATTTATCCAGCCAGTATTTATTAAGTGCCTTCTGGATACCAGTGCACTCTGTGGACGCGGAAGATAAAACAGTGCTTGGGGCAGGTGCAGCCTCTTCCTTCCCAGAGTTAATAGTTCAGTAGAGGTTAAACTACTTACTGAAAACTGCTGGGAGAATTAAGGATGTAATGGAAGCACATGGTGAGGGACAGAGACTATAGACAGGCCAGAGAAGGCCTCCTGGCTCCTGAGAGAAGCGCTGACTTAGAAGACAAAAGTCCTAAAATGGACTTGCCATTGTAGAGGCTAGCCTCTGAGAAGCCCACTCCTCAGACTCATAGTGAGCCTAGTTTACATGTCAGTGCTGAGAGGTCAGTACCAGGCCCCTGCGGAGCTTAGTTGCACACTTAGTTGCCATCTCCTCCAGAGGGGAAGGTTTAAGTGAAACAGAAGGATAAAATTACGCTCTGACTCTCTGCACCATTTTCCTCCTTTATGCTGTTGACAGCTTGATCAGTTAGATTTGTATCATTCCTCTAAACTTCTGCAATAGCTCTGTCTCTATTATGCCCTCAAATCTTCCTTGTCTCAAAAAGTAAGTCCTTACTTGACCCTACATTCCATTCTGATTGTCATACATCTTTTTCTTACCCAGTGTCTTTGGATGTATAGCCTAGACTCCCTGTCCTTGCATTTTTATTATCCTCTAGTGTCTACACTAATTTCCCTCCTGTTTCTGTTTCTCCCCACTTCACAGAAGCGGTTGTTATAAATGACTTCCTGGTCAATCCACTGTTCTCTTCTACGTTCTCAAACTTTGTAAGATTTGTTTGATACAGTTTTCACTTTTTTTTTATTCTAGAAATTCTCTCCTTCACTATCTTTTCATAACACTGTTTTCTCTTCTACTATTTTTCTGTTCATTACTGTCTTTGTTTCTAATTTTGTTCCCTAATGTATCCCAACTCTGGGTGTACCCTAAACAGTTACAACCTCTGGACCTATGACTTCAAATCCCCTTGAGTGGACCACCCTCTCAGAATCAGCTTAGACCTTGTTACATGGAAGAAGAGGGAAAGGGTATCTGGAAAAGGTGTGGAGCATGGTGAAGGTTGAGATAGGGCAGGCAGCACTGGGGACTTGGCTAAAGCAGGTAACGAGAATCTTATGTGATAACAAAACTTGATAGGTCAGATTGATCCAGACTTGAAAATTTTCATTGGAGAGGCAAAAATACAAGAGATTTGAGGCCTATGTAAGATAGTAGCTGAATATCCATGCAGAATAGGAATGAGAGGACCCTTTAAAGGACCCTTTAAAGGACTCATAGGTTGGGAGGAGAAGACATACAATGACTAAGGACTTGTTTAGGTGCAACACCAATCCAGTGGAGGACGGGGAGCAAAAGAGGGTGATGGACAGGAGCCTGATGTTGGGGAAGGGGTTATCAGCTTTGGGGCTGAACAGTGGAAAATTCTGCATGTTGTGGTTCAGGATGACCATGTCAGTGGGTTGCTGACATACAATTGAGGGGAAGGCTATTGGAATACAGGAGATCAAGCAAACCTGGAGGCTGAGATGTTGGTGAGTCTTCCTCAGGGATACCGAAGTCACTTAGAATCAGGCAGATGCTTGAGTAGAACTGTGAGTTATGGGGAGCTAACCCAAAATGCCAACAGTTCACCATGATTTATAATGTGTCCTCATCCTGATTTGATACACTGACTCCTCTTTTTACTCCTGGGCATTCTGTTACTTTGATACTTAAGCTTTCTGGGTATTTTCATTGATTCTCTATTCTTGAACCTTCAGTGATTCTGCATGCCATCCAACGAAACTGTAAATTCTAGATGCGTGTTTAAATTCCTCTGTCAGTCTACCTGTAATATCAGTCTACCCACAACAGCCCCTTTGCTGATGCTCTGTGAGACTCCTGTCAGGCTGGTCTCCTTCCCCTCTATCTTACCTTCGCTTTGACCTAGACTGATTCCTCCCTGCCCCAGCCTGGGATACCATTCCTCTCTGGGGGGTCAATCCGGATCCTTCCCTTAAAGCTCAGCTTGAGATGCACCTCTCCGTGAACAGCTTCCCCTCACCCACCTCAACCACTTAAATCCCATCTGATCTAATACTTTTTTCCTTGGAATTATTTTGGCATTCATACACAACAGATACAGCATCAAGCATTTGCTTGTATACAGAGTGATTAAAAAAGAATTGGGCAGTTTCAAAATATCTTCCTCCCGAAACTATTATATATAAACATGTAGTTTCTACTTGAGGGTATATTAAGAAACTTGTGCTTGTACCTCCCGCCTTGAGGAAATTGGAGTGCATTGTAGCTGCTGTCTCTGCCATTGGATGGACAACGGGATTGATGTGTGCTGTGGGACGCGAGGAGCTCATGTTGAGCGTTTATAAGCTCACGGGAATAATTGAGATAGTTCCTTTACAAATTATATACTTGCATATAACATAATTACTGAGTAAGTTTACTATTCAAGTAACTCTGTTCAGGTTTTCTATGTAACTCTGTGTTAGTTGAGAACTATTCTTGAATTTTTTCTTGCACACATGGCATATGAAACAATAAATAGGTGGGTAGATAAAAGTGAACTTTCTGAAAACAGTCGCTTTTAGTTTTCTTTTCCCCTTGATGTCCACTAAGGTAGTGGGAACAGAGCTCACCTTCAATCTTTCAATCAACTTGCTCAAAGAATTGAGTTGTTGGAGCACCTGGGTGGCTCAGTCGGTTAAGCGTCGGACTTCAGCCCAGGTCACGATCTCGCGTTTTGTGAGTTCAAGCCCTCCATTGAGCTCTGTGCTGACAGCTCGGAGCCTGGAGCCCACTTCAGAATCTGTGACTCTCTCTCTCTCTCTCTGCCCCTCCCCCACTCATACTCGGTCTCTCAAAAAATAAACATTAAAAAATTAAAAAAAAAAAGAAGTTGTTAAATTGACACCATTTGTTTTAGTGAAATATAACTTAAACCTCTTCCATTTCTCACATATTTATTTTAAAAGAAAGGGTAAGGATGTAATATTTTAAGCAAAGAAATGTAGAGACAATTTCTAGTCCTCAGTATCATCTAGTACTTTTTTCCCCAAATTTTCATTTTAAGTGATATCCCCAACACTTGCTTTGTCAGAGCCAAGCAGGCATTTCTCTTTACTCCCTTCCTTGTAAGTATCAGTCTATGTCCTTCTTTAGTACCCAAGCCAGTCTTCCCCATCTCCAAGTTCTCTACCTTCTTGTTAAGAATCTGTACAAATTCCAACTCATGTGAGATGATGTATCCTACAGAGTTCTTTGTTTCATCATAGCCTGAGGAACTGAGTCTATGGTCTGGTTTTTGTTGTTTATTTTTTGTTTATGAATGTTGGTTTAAAAACTGAAAAATGATCTATTAGTTTGTACATTATTTACATATATACGTATATAACACAAATATACAGATTATGTGAAATTCATCTTGGCTATCTTAGAATTTTAAACCCTTAATCGGAAGGTTATACGCCAAGGCAGTTGTGACCATCTACTAAATGGCATATCGACCATTATAAATTTGGGCACATCAGAGACCAAGAAATAACGTGGAAAATAAATCTCTCCAGAGTGACCTCATAAAGAATGAATGATATTTTCTTTATTCTAAGCCTGATTAGATCGTGTTTTCTTCTGATTTGTATCTTTTCCTGTGTGTTCTGTTTTCCACATCTTTTTCGAATTACATTTGGCTTTTAAATTTTATTCCTGTTTCTAATACAAACTTAATATATGAAATCCTTGAGAATTTAAAAGGTGAAGCCCCTGGCAAGTTTTGCCAGAGGTACTACCAGTTTTTCCATGAAGGGCAAGAGGAAAAATCATTTCCAAAGTAGGTCAGGCAACAATATAAACTGTGGGGAAGTTTAGTTTTTTAAAATAAATGCTACATGTATTCATTTTTTTAAACGAACATTTATGGGCTACCTGTTACACCCCAAGCACTGCTCTAGGTAATGGGGCTTTCAGGCATGAAGAGGACAAAAATGTCTGCTCACTTTCTACTTAGGGGAGATGATAAATGGTAAAATGTAAGGTCATAAATGCTACAGAGAAAGTGCAGAGAAGGGGAATAGGGAGAGCCACGAGGAGGGTAGTTACAGTTCCATGTAGGGTAGTTCGAGAAGGACTTAGGATGAAGGTGACATTTGAATAAAGACTCGAGGAGGCAAAAGAAAGAGTTGTTTAGCTATTGAGGGAGAGCTCTTCAGCAGAGGGGAAATAAGTGCAAATAAGTGGGACCATGCTTGGCATATTTGAAGAGGAATGAACCAGAAGGTCAGTGTGGCTGAAGTCGAGTGAGCAATGGGATGTAGCAAACAAGAAAGTTGGAGAGCTCACAAAGGGCCTCCTGGGGCAGGACCATAAACCACATTGTAAGAACTTTGACTTTTATTCTGAGTAAAATAAGGAACAATTCAAGAGTTGTGGGGTTTTTTGATGTTTAATTTTGTGAGAGAGAGAGAGAGAGAAACCGCGCGAGTAGGAAAGGGGTATAGTGAGAGGGAGACATAGAATCCAAAGCAGGCTCCAGGCTCTGATTTGTCAGCACAGAGCTCCATGCAGGGCTCGAACACACGAACCGCGGGATCATGACCCGAGCTGAAGTCGAACATTCAACCAACTGAGCCATCCAGGTGCCCAGGATCAATTTAAGAGTTTTGAGTGGAGTTGTGTTATGGCTTTCATTTCAAAGGGCCTATCTGCTGTGATGAGAGACTATCACAGAAAACCTGTCAGGAAATTTCAGTGCCTTTGACCAGGTGACAGCAGTAGAGGTGACTAGAAGGGTTCAGATCCTGGATATAGTTTGAAAATAGAGTCAGTAGATTTCCTGACCAATTGTATGTGGGATAGGAGGGAGAGACTATATTCAAGAGGACTCCAAGGTTTTCATCCTGAGAACTGAAAAAGTGCAATTGTCACTACCTAGGTTGGAAGACTGGGAACACAGCAGGTGTGGAGGAAAGCAAGTTTGTGGGGAGGAGGAAAGTCAGGGATTTAATTGTAAAATAAATTCTTTCATATTGTACAGATAAATGAAAATATCTGCAGTTAGCCCACTTCACCAATCCCATGAATTGGGCCACATTTTACTGTTGAATTAAAATGTTCTGGATGACTATACTTTAGTGACTCTATCCCAATTTTATTGAGCCCTGTAGTTTAACATATGATGGGAGGTTCATTTCCAGGGTAGTAATTTAAGGAAGTATAGCTACTGTCCCTCTGGTTCATATTCATATGCACATCCTAGTGGCATTGGGAGCTAATAAAATAATTTATGTTTTACTTAAAATAAAATATCCAGGTGTCAGGATCCCATTACTAATGCTCTAAACAAAAGTCATCTAAAGTTTAATCTTTTGTTCAAATATAAGCTTTGTGAATATCTGTTAAAATTTGGCAAAATATTATAATTAATTTCAACTTTAAAAAAGTGAAATTATTTGGGGTGTTTAAACCTGAGTTCCTTCAAAAATGGAAAAATAGGGGTGCCTGGGTGGCTCAATCGGTTAAGCGTCCAACTTCAGCTCAGATCATGATCTCGTGGTTCGTGGGTTTGAGCCCTGCATTGGGTTCTTTGCTGGCAGCTCAGAGCCTGGAGCCTGTTTCAGATTCTGTGTATCTCTCTCTGTCTGATCCTCCCCTACTCATGCTTTGTCTCTGTCTCAAAAATAAATAAACTATTAACAAAAATTTTTTAATGGAAAAAATGGAAGTATTTTAGTAGTTGGTAGAAAATCAATTTCATGAGTAGGAGAAAAATTCTTTAGCCCCGGACAAAGCTGTTGTCATCTTAATAGATTTTTTTTTCTATTACATTGAAGAGAATGGAGAAAGCCTCAGAATTTCCAGTTTCGAAAGCATTCTCTGCTAGAAATTCTGATTTATCCAGAAGGCTTTGGAGCCATATCATAGATTTGGAAACACCTGAGCAAATAGAAGATCATGATGAAGTCTATGCAGAAGGTAAGAGAATACATTTGTTTTGCTGCAATATTAATAGTTCTTTAGAATACAGGTTATTAAAGTATAACCTGTAATGCATACCTTCCTGAAACTAATCGACTCTGGAGTAAACTCCAATATTACTAATAATGCTGCATTTAAGGTCCATTTTGTCTCCTGAAATAAAACCACTTGCAGAGGCAGTTTAATATGACACAGCTAACTGGTGAGTGCTCTAAGGTATTAGTCCTGTGGCACAGAGGGCAGCATGATCACTTCAACTACTATTAGGAGATAATTTGACCACTGGTTGTAAATCCACTTTATTCCTTATGAAGAGAGTCTAAAACTGACCTAACCTCCCTAGCTTTCCAAAGCATTTACTCCTCTGGAATTTAGTATTTTAGCTTCTCATGCTCTGAGAAACTCTGGTACGTAGGGATGAAGAAATCAGGAGGAGCCAGCAAAGACGACTGGAAAGGAGAGGCCACCAAGGTAGGAGGAAAGTAAGAGTGCCCATGTCCTGGAAGGCAACTTCCATTTGGATTATCTATGTCTCCATTTATTGAGATTATCTTCATTCAAAAAACATATATATAATCATTACTTTACATGTGTAATTACATATCTGTATAATTTATAATACAAATTTATACATTAATAACAAAATATATATTTGCTTTATATATTATATATATATGTAAACTATATATAAAATTAATACTCTGTGCCAGGTACCATTTTAGACACTGGAGGAACAGGTTACAAACAAGAGAGGCAAAGCCCTTACTTCCATGGGGTATATATTTTAGTGTGAGAATAAAGAAAACTGAAAACAGAATTATTATTTAATGATAAATCATTTGAGTTTGGACCTGAATAATAAGGAGCCAGCCAAGCATTGTTGGAGGAAGGGCATCCCAGGCAGAGGGAAAGGCAGTATCAAGAGTTGGAGTACAGACATGCTTGGTGTGCTTGAGGAACTGAAGGAAGAGCAGTGTGACTGGAGCTTCCCAATGGAGATGAGCTTGCAGGAGTGAGCAGAAGACTTATTACATAAGGCCCTTATAGTCCTGGAAAAAGAATTTAGATTTTATTCCGAGTATGAGAAGACATCATTGAAAGGTTTTAAGCAGAGGTGTAACCGCACAGTATTTGAATTATATGAAGAATGGATTATAAGGGACAAAAGGAGGGAGAAGGGAGATAAGTGGGAGGCTATTAAAGTGGTCTGGATGAGCAGTAATGGCACTTGATCTTGGGTGGTTGGTGGTAATAGAGATGGAGAAAGGAGACTGATTCAGAAATTGGCAAGGCTACATCTTGCCCACCCCATCTCCCAACCCACCAGTGGGAATGCACAGTATACTTTAGCTTCTTAAAGTTTCTGAGAAGTCCTCCTGTTTAAAAAAACTAATGTTTACTTACCCCATTTCCCAAGCTTCCCTTACCATGAAGCTCTTTTTATCCTGAAATCCATATTCATATCCTCAAGAATTAGTGATACACATTAGAAAGTACTAGTATAGGGACAGAACATGATTTTCAAAGGTTTAAATCCTTTTTTCTTTTCTCATCAATCATCTGTTAATATTCCATAAGAACCAAAGTTCTGAGGAACATTCTTTGAGAAACTTTGCTTAATGTAGCCTTAGAATCTCTGATCCAACATGAGGTGTTCCTACAGTTGAACCGTCTAAGAGAAGTTCCTTTTCTTTGTTCTTTTGGGACACTTTTGTGTTTTGTTTTGTTTTGTTTTGTTTTTAATGTTTTATTTATTTCTGAGAGAGAGAGAGAGAGACAGCGTGAGCAGGGGAGGGTCAGAGAGAGAGGGAGACACAGAATCTGAAGCAGGCTCCAGGCTCCGAGCTAGCTGTCAGCACAGAGCCCGACATGGGGCTTGAACCCACAAACCGTGAGATCATGAGCTGAGCTGAAGTTGAACGCTTAACCGACTGAGCCACCCAGGTGCCCCTCTTTTGGGACACTTTGTAGTAAACCCCTATTTACTAATGAATGACATTTAGCAGATCTGAATTATTCTACATATAAATTATTATACACATAAATGTCTGTATTAATGTACACAGGGTTACTCAGTAAATATCTGTCCCTGTTCTTTTACTGCCTCTGAAAGCCAATAATATTTGTTACTAGTATACTTTCACACTTATTTTCTACTACCATGATTCATTTTTTTCTGTTGTATATGTTATGCATTCCTAGCTATATTAAATGCCATTTGGCATCATTTAATGTAATGAACATCCCATTGTCTCAGAACTATGTGATAATGGTAATAACCATAAAGATAGTGGTGAAATATATACTTCTCTTCTTTGAAAGCCCTCTGCCCTACCTACAGAGCTGTTTGATAATAATGATAGTGATGAAGGTCATACTAAGGTAGACATTTTCTCCCATACCTATATATTTAAGAAGATTTTCTGAATATGACTAGGAACGTGGCTGCCAGGATGTCACACTGATTTTCCTCTTACCTCAGTGGGCCTCTCCTTCCTAGTCTACTTTCCTGGTTCTGCCTCATCTCTTCAGGTGTTCAGATCTTATTCCTGGAACCAGTTCTCTAAACATCTTCCTCCTTTGGTGATCTCTTCCACTCTGTGGCTTCAAATACTATCCGTATGCTGACAACACCCACATTTATTTCTTCATCTTGGACCTCTCCCCTGAAATTCAGAGTGGTATAGCCAATACCTCTTTGACATTCTTATTTGACATTGCTTATTTGTATGTCTCATAAGCATTTCAAACCAAACTAGCCTAAAACTGAATTCCTGATTTTCTCTCCAAACCTGCCTTGCCCTTGGCCTTCCCTGTCTCAGTAAATGGCATCTCCATTTGTAGAGTTGCTTAGGCCAAAAACCTTACAGATTTCTTTCTCTCCATTCCCATATCATACATCAGCAAACCAGGTCAATTCTAGCTCAAAACATTACAATCGGATCATTTTTATACTTCCACTCCAGGTCCAGGCTATTATCACTTTTTCCCTAGATTATTGCATTTGTCTTTAAATTGGTGTCCCCTACTTCTGTGCAAGGGATTTTCAACCTCAGCACTATGGATGTTTTGGGCCAGATAATTGGGGGGGGGGGGCGCAGTCCTGTTCATTGTTGGATGTTTAGCAGCATACCTGGCCTCTGCCCACTAGATGCTAGTGTCATTCACTCCAGTTGTGATAACCAGAAATGGCTCCAGACATTCCAAATGTCTACTCAGGGGCAAGATTACCCCTGGTCTAGAGCCACTGCTCTAAACCTGATCCCCACGTTACCTCTTTACTCTGTCTCCTACATTCCCCCTTCACTCACTCCTTTCTACACTGCCTCGGTATTTCTCCAATACTCCAGACATTCTCTTCCATGGGGCCTTTGCACTTGCTTTCCATCTACATGGAATAATATTGCCTTATATGTCCATATGGCTTACTCCTTCACTTTCTTCTTTTCTTTGCCCAAATGTCTTCTCAGGGAGGCCTTCTTTGACCCCTTTCCCCAGTTTAAAACTATCAATACCTACCTTCCATTTCTTGTACACCGTTTCTCCCCTTCCTGCTCTGTTTTTCTGATTTACTTACTGTCTCTCTTCTCCAATTAGAGTGTAAACTTCATTGGTGAAAGGTTTTATTTGTCCTGTTTTTTTTGCTGCTCTATTCCCAGCATCTAGCACAGTACTTGACACATGTTAGATGCTCAATTAGTATTTACTGAATGAATGAAAACAGTGAATGAAGAAAGTCTCTTAAGTAATTAAAATATTAAAAAGATTTTTTGTTTTACTGATAGCTCAGGAGCTAGTCAACAACTGGTTAGACGCCAAACTTAAGCAAGAATTAGCTAGTGATGGTGAAGATGATGCTAAAGACACAGTATCAAATATTCCTTCTGTGCCAGAAGCCGGTGGGCATTTGAAATATGACAAGTTTGATGGTAAGTACTTGTCTGATTGTTCTAAGCTTTAATATTTAGTAAATGTATCTAAGAAGCCTTTTTAATTATTTTGAATAATGAGTGATGTGCTCTTTGCCTTTTCTGTGTTTTGCTTAGTTTTATAATTGGCTTTAATTTTTCTTGGTTCAATTTAAATTACTTACCTGTATCTTCAGTAAATTTATATTGTTTCTTAAATTAAAATATTGTTTGTAATTCCTCTTTTGACTCTTTACTTCAGTAAGGGCTACATTTAAACATTCTTATATCAGTTTTTAAATTTTTTTTTATTTTCAGAGTGAGAGAGAACGTGAGCACATACAAGCCAGGGGGCAGGGGGCAAAGATAGAGGGCGAGAGAATCCCAACTGTCATCACAGAGCCTGACATAGGGCTCGAACTCAAGAACCTCAAGATCATGATCTGAGCCAAGATAAAAACGTTTAACTAACTGAGCCACCCAGCCACCCACTACCCCTCACACATCTTATGTTTGTAGAGTATTTTGTTTGTTTCCCTCATTTTTTTAGATCAAAACTGAACAAAAATATTATGTAGCCAATAAAAAGAATGTTTACCAAAAATAGATTAATGTGATTATCTCAATAGACACAGAAGAAGTACTTAACAAAATCTAACATCCAATCCTAATAAAACTCTCAGCAAATTAGTAATAGAAGGTAAATTTCAACCTAACATAGGGCATTTACATAAGACATACAAAAAACAAATACCAAAATGACAAATATAAATCATACTTTATCAGGAATTATACCTAATGTAAATGGATTAAATACTCCAATTAAAAGACAGAGATTGGTGGAATGAATTTTAAAATATGACTGACCATATGCTATCTGCCAGTTACACAAGTTAGATTCAAAAACACATAGATTAAAAGTAAAATTCTGGAAAAAGATATACTGTGCAGTGAGTAACCAAAAGAAAGTGAGAGCAATTTACTAATATCATAAAAAATAGACTTTAAGATAAAAAAAATTGTTGGGGTGCCTGGGTGGCTCAGTTAGTTAAGTCTCTGACTCTTGATTTCGGTTCAGGGCATGATCTCACGGTTTGTGAGTTTGAGCCCCACGTCAGGCTGTGTGCTGGCAGTGCAGAGCCTATTTGGGATTCTCTTTCTTTCTCTCTCTCCCCATCCACCCCCCTTCTCTCTCTCTCTGCCTCTCCCATGCTTGTTCTTTCTCAAAAATAAGTTTTAAAAAATTTGTTATTAGAGGGATGACTGGGTGGCTCAGTCGGACTCTTGATTTCAAGCTTAGGTCATGATCTCCTGGTAGTGAGATGGAGCCCTGCATCAGGCTCCATGCTGGGCATGGAGACTGCTTAAGAGTCTCTCTCTCTCTCTCTCTCTCTCTCTCTCTCTCTCTGTTTCTCTCTCCCTCTCCTTCTGCCCCTCCTGCCCACTTGTGCTTGCTCTATCTTTCTCTCAAAAAAAAAAAAAAAAAAAACAACCATGTTACTAGGTACAAAGAAGGGCATTTTATAATGATAAAGGGAAAAGTATGAACATACATACACCTAACAAAAGGGTCCTGAAATACATGAAGCAAAGTTGAAGGGAGAAATAGTTAATTCAACAATTCTCCAAATTATTTGGAAACCTGATACCCCATTTTTTTTTAATGTAAACAGTTTTATTTAGAAACAGATAGGTACCTGTTTTCCCACTTTCAATAATATATGGAACTAAACAGAACATCAGCAAGGAAAATGTTTAGTGTCATTAGTCATTAAGAAAATGCAAATTAGAACTACCTTGAGTAACCGCGACATACCTGTTAAATGGTTTATATCCAAAGAGTGACAACACCGAGTATTGGTGAGGATGTAGAGGAACTGGAATACTCCTATACTGCTGATGATTATGTGAAATTATATAACCACTTTGGAAAACAGGTTGACAGTTTTTTAAGAAATTAAACAGATACTTATATGATCAAGCCATTCCCCTCCTAGGCATTCTCCCAAGAGAAAAGAAAGCATATGTTCATACAAAAACTTGTACACACATGTTTATAACAACTTTATTTGTCATAGCTAAAATCTGGAAATGACCCAAATGTCTACCCCTGAATAAATGAACAAATTATGGTATACCCAAACAGTGGAATACTAATCAGCAATAAAAAGTGATAACCTATTGGTGTAACATGATGAATCAAAAATAGTTATGCTGAATAAAAGAAGGCTGACAAAAAAAAGTACAGAGCATATGATTTAGTTAATACAAAATTCCAGAAAATGTAAATTTATAGTGCAAGAAAGCAGGTCTGTAGTTGCCTGGGATAAGACAGAGAACATGGGGAAGAGTGGGAGGAAGAGCTTGCAAATCAGCATGAGGACCCTTTTGGAGCTGACAGACATGTTCGTTATCTTGGTTATAGTGATGGTTTTCCTGGTAGATGTATATGTCAAAACTTATGGTAGACTTTAAATATTTACGGTTTATTGTATGTCAGTCATACCTCAAAAGAACCATTTAAAAAAGAAAAAGCAATGGATGGGGCAGCTGACTGGCGCAGTCAGTAGAACACACCACTCTTAACCCCAAGGTCAGGAGTTCAATACCTATGTTGGACATGGACCTTATTTAAAATAAAAAAAAAAATTTAAAAAGACGAAGCAATAGAGTCTTCAGGGATGTTTAGAATGAAATAGTATCTTTTACATTTGGCAATGAAGGAATCTTTAGTGACTTGGGGAGGGAAAATTCGTCATTTTTCCTCTCAGTTGAAGGTAGTTAATTGCTGAGGGCTGTACTCATCCAATTGGCATTATCAGTTACTATTTATTAAATACCCACGGCTTTATATTTTTGTTATACCAAGATTATTTATTTAAATTTGGAAATTGTACTGTACTAAATTTTCCCCCTTTTTTTGTTCCTGCTCTGTCTCCCCCCAGAGTTATGTGGCTATTTGGAGGAAGAAGAGGAAAGTACCACCGTTCAAAAATTTATAGACCATCTGCTCCATAAAGAAGTGGTGGATTCTGGAATGTTGGAAGGTCTTGGAATGAATGGAAACCAAGACAAGCAGCAGCAGAAGGATCCTCGTCTTACCATGGAGATGAGACATAAGCAGGTGGGAGGGAAAAACAAAATTAAAATGGGTAACAGGAAGCAATCTTTGTGTAGCACATTTAATAAGCTTAAATAAAGACTTAGGCTTTATTATGAAAAAGGGTGCCATCTGTGGTTTGGTTAGAAAGAACAAAAAATATAAGAACTTCAGAAGAAAAATAATGCTCATAAACTGAGGACAGGAAACAATTTAAGAAAACTAAAAAAAAAGGAATAATTGATTTTGAACAATGGAGTGGTGAACTAAACTTTATTAGTTTGTATGTGGTATTTTCTATTATAAATATGTAGATTTGTTTTGCTTGAATTTGGTTTTTGAACTGTGACATCAATATATTAATATCATGAATATTCTAGTGAATGTTATAATGATAATTCTTTTCCAGACAACTGAAAAATTCACTCATTTTGTGATTATAATTTGAACGGGAGGACAGATCCGAATTAAATCTAGTTCAGCTGTTTTGAATTAGAAAGGCATATGGGAACTTTCTTTTCTTCAAAGGGAATAAATAGTGGGTTATAGGAAAAAGATGCATCTCAACTCTTTGTAGGGGAACTTCAGGAAATCAGAATGACCAAGTCTTTTCCACATGTCCAGAACTAAGTGAACTAAAATGAATGCCAACACATTGTATGCTATCTTTTTATAACACTGAGTTTCTAGTTGCTTTAAATCATTAAGAGTGCTTAAATGGTAGAAGTACGATCCGTTTGGGTTTTTGAAAAGGGAGAGGAGAGAGGTTCAACAAGAGATTGACAGTATCTGGAAGTCTTCTCATTACTGGAGAGTAAGATGAGGGTAAAGGTAAGTGAGCTAGGGGGGAAAGGAGCACTTCTGTACTTACAGTTAGTCAAGCCTCTATAGAATCAATACATTTGAAAAATTGTGCTTATTCAGAAATATCTGTGAAATTCAGAGTTTTGATTTACAAATAAGAGCCAGAATCATCGATACACTTAAATAATGATAATGAAAGGGTAGGGGGCACCTGGGTGGTTCAGTTGGTTGAGTGTCCAACTCTTGATTTTGGCTCAGGTCATCGATTGAGCCTCACGCCAGACTCTATGCTGAGCGTGGAGCTGCTTAAGATTCTCTCTCCCTCCCTCTGCCCCTTTCCCCCACTCATTCTTGTTCACTCTCTCAAATTAAAAAAAAATTTTCTTTTAATGAATAAAGCGTGTGGTGTTCTTAAAGCAGTAAATCACTGTTCTATCCTTCACAGTGTAGCCTCCCGCAAATATCCAGCCTGCAGACTGGACCCAAATAAACAGCAGGAGTTTCCAAAGTTACCTTGGAAAACTTTAGGGGTCAGAAATTACTACTAAGTAAGCATCCAGAATTTGGCATCTGACCCATTAGATTTTCAAGTTTTCTGTGATGCAAATCATTCCCAGACTCTTTGGGAGTCCTACTACCTGACTTCATCTAGACTTTTGAATTGGCTCATACCCAGTAAACGTATGAATTCTTCCTGTTCTGCTAAACAGTGGGCTTCTGGGCCAGAATGTTTCAAACTGGAGATATTGTGAACTTGAAAATGTATTCTAAGCTTTTGCATATCCTTTTCTACTTGAGAGGCTGTATTTCACTCTTGTTGTATTCTCTTTAAGGTAAAAGAAAATCGCTTAAGACGTGAGAAAGAACTGGAGCGTCAGAGAATTGAAAAGACCCTGAAAAAATCAGCCTTGTTAGAGGCTCAGTATTTGGTACAAGAAGAGAAGAAAAAGAAGGCTCTGGAGGCCAAGAAAGAGGAGGAGGAGATTCAAAGGTAGATGGTAAAGCTGCGGAGGGAGATAATTGAGAGGAGACGCACTGTGGAAGAAGCATGGAAAATGTAAGCCCGTCGTGGTGAGCAGTGTGCAGTTTTTTTTTTTTTTTTATTTAAGCAGTCATTTTGAAAGTATTCTAAAGTTTAAAGAAATGGACATTGTAATAGCAAAACACAAAGGAGAAATCACCCACCATTCCACTGTCTTAACAAATTATTTAACATTTTTCTGTTTCCTCTGGGTCTCGATCCCTTTACATACTTAATTGCAACTATAAAGTACATTTAATTTGTTATTTTGCTTGTTGTAATTAACACATTGCCCAGAGTCCTGAGGTCTATATATTAATACTCCACTGAGTTCCGAGACCAGTCTATGTAATGACCACCCCGCCCAACCTGATAAGCATTTCAGCTATTTCAGGTTTGTCACCATATAATAATACAGTGAGCTTCCTTAAGCATAGAGCTTTTTATATTCTTAGGAGTGTAATTATTGAGTTAAATGGTACAGGCCTTTTGATGACTCTTGAAACATTGCCAAACTGCTTTCAAAATGGGTTACACTTATTTACACTATTGCTGGCAGTGAGCCAGATTACCACACTTTTCGGCACTGGGGAGTACTATCACTTTCAGTGTTTTGCACTTTCAATAGGTATTATATTGGTTTAGTTTGTATTTCTTTGGTTACCTGTATATTCGCTCATTGTGCCTGTGTGAAATGTGTGTCTTACCTTCTGATAATCAATCCTACAGAGTCCTCATTGCCTTCCAGCCACTGATAAAGAACAGAAATATCTAACGTAAGAGGAAAATCAAAATAGTCTTCATGGGATGTAGTACTATTATGTGTCCTCATGCAGAAAATGAGGTTCATAAGTGAAATAAATAACTAATGTATTTATTCTGAGAAACAGCACTGATGCATGAACTGGAAAAGCCTTGGAGCAACATGCCTCAAGTGACTGAATACTCAGACTCAAAGGCTAGAAAGACCTATTAGATAATCCCTTCCACCCCATCAGCCTACATAGCTTTTCCCCCTGTGTTCCTGATTGCTCTCATTCTACCCAATTTAAAACAGCTTAGCAGTGGATGTGGGCTTCACTCTTCCAAGTGCCAGCCTCAGGCCTCCTCCAGACACCATTCCTTTCAGAAAGCAAGCACTAGTGTTTTAGTGAGTTTCTCACTAAGGTCAGGTTACTTTTCAGATCACTCTTAAACCCTGAAAACTCTGGGATGACCTAAAATAAATTATGGTATTTATGGTATACAGGTGGTATACCACGGTAACAGGATGCTCTGTTCATAGTGGGCTCTCACCAAATGTTCACTGACCACTCATTTCTTTTAAAAGTTAAAATCTTATCCATGGTTACAGCGATTCAGGTTAATACTCTCTGCTGCTCACAGAAGAACTGATTTTAAATGTTCCAGAAAGCAATTTGACAGTAAACAACAAGAGCCATGAAAATGGTATTGTCATTTGACCTGAGAGTTCCAGTCTTAGGAAAACTCCCCTCAGAAAATGATCAGAAATCCAAAGATTTGTGCACAAAGATTATTAATATAATAGTATTTATAATAGGCATTAATATTAGAGAAATTAATAAAAATGGTGGTACAATCAGATATCACTGACAGTATGTCAGTTTCCTTTCTGCGTGGAAATATGGATGGCTTTTATAGCTCTGATATTTCACAGTGAGCAGCTATTACTTTCATAGCATATTGTAGTGTTATATTAGAAAATCAGATCCATGGTTATTAGAACTATATTTCTTTAAATAACCACTGTGATCTGCTTCTAACTACCTATTATAACATTGTTATGGCATCTGGAGAGAGTCAATAAAATGTTATTATTGATAGACCTTTTTAATTTATTTGTAAGCAATACTACATCTGCTCCCCTGCATAGTTTCAAAGTATCTCCTATAAGAAATCTTTAATTACAAAGAGAAAAATGGCAGCTTTACACCGGAGAGGCCCCCTCAACCAAGTGATGGTTAACAGCACAAGTAATAAGGTAGAACATTGTGTGTCCCCTGTATGTATATGAAAATTAATGAGAGCATGTCTGTAGAGTATTCTGGCATCCCTCTCTCAGTTTGAGTTTCCACAACTGTAAAGTGAAATTCAGAAAGACCAGGTGAATTGCATGAGTTTTCACAGCTGGTTTGTGGGCCAAAGCACATAAATCCTGAGTCCTGACTAGGTGTTGTGTTTACTATATCGCCGGTAGTATATCTTACACACATGTATGTACACATACTCTAGTACACGCCAGTAAGAAAGCAGTGGCTGTGAACTTGCTTGAATTGGCATGTTGAGAGAGATGAGCTGGCTGAGAAAAGAGTTGGGTGAGACATGAACAGCAGTTACCGAGAGATTCCTGTCACTTGCTGACGGCCTTTTATTGTTATTAAATTCTACTTTTTCTCTTTTCAGCTATTTTAGAATTAATATAAATTCCATTCCTTCTGTACCCAAGAATACCTGATTCTTTTACTATTTTTTCCCCTAAAAGCCCTGTAAAAGCCTTGGTGTAAAAATCTCATCCCTTTCTTACCTAAGGTCCTTTTTTGTCCCTCCCTTAGAAGAGAGAGAACTTATGTCTACCTTAGAAAACACCTAGGAGTTGTTAACTCTCAAATTTTGATCAAAGTATTGCTCAGTGGTAAACTCAGTAAAAATACTCTACTGAAGGGGCACTTGGCTGGCTCAGTCAACAGAGTGTGTGCCTCTTGATCCCAGGGTGAGTCTGAACCCTCATTGGGTGTAGAGATTACTTAAATAAATAAATAATTTTTTAAAAAACTACCAAAATATCTATAGGGATTTCTACTTTTCAGAGTATAACACTTTTATTTCATTTAGTGTATATTTTATAAAGGAGTAAACTAAGGCTCAAAAACAAAAAAAAAAAGTCATCCTATGTACTTTTAGAACCAGATCTAAAAATCTGTCTTCTGATGGAAAATTCAATGTCCATTCCACTATGGTAGGTTGTAATTGCCCATTGTTAGGTCTCTTGTTCATGTATGTATTTTTAAAATTGTTATTAACAGAGAGAGGAAAAAGCAGGAAGAATATTCTCAAAAAAATACAGAAGAAAGCATCTTTCAAAGTGATCATATTCTTCTGGATGAAGAAAAAATGGCAAAAGAAAGAAAGAAGAAACTCAAAGAGTTATTAATCCAAACTTACAATGAAAATCATCAGGTAGGAATTGTAACATCCCTTTATTCAGCATAAATGACAGAGAGCTCTATCAGAGTTAGGACAGTGTCCCACTAAGCCTAACTGAGCCTCATTGCAAATACCAGAATTGCCCACACCATTTGTTCTGTGCTGCCCAGTGGGCCTAGGACCTGGGGTGGTGCTCCATTCCCTGGTCCCAGGGCTATTCTTCTATGTACTCTGTGTGATCCTGGGAAGTGGGGTGTGAATTTGGGATGGCTTCCTAAATTATTACCGTGTTCAGAATAGCATGGAACCACTAATGAGTTCTCTGATAGGTTTTGAAAGCTCGGCTTCCACAGTCTTCTGGGTTATTCAGAATTACTCAGAAAGTCACTTGTCTTCTAGTAGCTATGAACTTAAAGCAAGATACATCTTTCCTTTTCATGGTCTACATTTCCTTTTATTCTTTTCTCCCTCTTTTTTACTTTCACTTTTTGTAAAATTAACTGGTCAATTTTTTATTGACAAATGAGCCTCCTTTCCAGGTCATTTGAGCATAAGTTTCTTTCAGTGAAGTGGGATTGACAATAGTATGCATTTGAGGCTTAAAACATTTTAGGTGTGGGACACCTGGGTGGCTCAGGCAGTTAAGCATTCAACTTCAGCTCAGGCCATGATCTCACAATTTGTGAGTTTGAGCCCCACATCAGGCTCTGTGCTGACAGCTCAAAGCCTGGAGCCTGCTTCAGATTCTGTGTCTCCCTCTGTCTCTGCCCCTCTCTTGCTCACACTCTGTCTCTGTCTCTCAAAAATAAATAAATAAATGTTAAAACAAATTAAAAGAAAACATTTCAGGTGAAAGGGGTTACTTGGAAGATTTGTAAAATGACAAGGTTGGAAGTAAAGATAAACATGGATATATTTTGTGTCATATAATACCCACCTAAAGGCTTTAGGCTTTGCTGAAATTTAGTGAATGGTAGAGGAATGAATGCAAGAATGCATGGATTTAACAAGAGAAAAGAAAATGTCAGGATGTTATTGAGGGAGCTTGATAAATGTAGGACAGACTTACAAAAGCCCTGGAAATCAGGAACAGGAATTTGAATATAATATTGATAACTGGGATATGAGCAACAAAGTAAAGTAGTATAAACAATTTAAGAAAAGAGAGAGAGAGGGGCACCTGAGTGGCTCAGTCAGTTGAGCTCCGACTCTTGGATTCAGCCCAGGCCATGATCTCGTGAGTCGAGGGTTCAAGTGCCACATCAGGCTCCACACTGACAGTGCAGAGCCTTCTTGGGATTCTCTCTCCCTGTCTCTCTTCCCCTCCCCAACTCACATGCTCCCTCTCTCTCTCTCCAAAACAAAACAAAACAATCTAGAGACATTTGATGGAGGCATTTTGGACTTTTTGGGCAAAAAGTCATAATTATTGAGATATATAAAACAAGATTTTTGGTTAGGGTTTTGGCTTTAGGAATAGAGAGGGAAATGTAGTAGGAGGAAATATTAAGAATTGGGACTAACATTTTTGAGAAATATTTGGCAAGGACTCTAAGATGCTGCATCCTTCATGAGACAGATGGCATTGGTACGTCCTCCTGCAATAACAGTTCAGATTTCTGAAGGAAAGTAAGAAAGGAGACGAGTACTCAGGGGACCATCTAGAGAAGGTGTGAGGAAAATATGCCATGATATGTTATCCAACCAATGAGAGATTAATAAGACATGTGGTCTTGTAAGCTTAATTTTTACATTTTATTGAAGTTCACTGTACAGGAAGAAATAATGTATGTTTTAGATACAAGTGGCTAGGTATGAATTTTAGACACATGTAAAGAGTTTTACAAAATTAGTGGTCTACCTCAAACAGATTACTCAAGTTTTATTTTTTTTTTTTTAAGTTTATTTATTTATTTTGAAGGGAGAGAGAACGAGCTGGGGAGAGAGAACATTTTTTAAGAGAGAAGGGGACAGAGGATCTGAAGTAAACTATGAGCTGTCAGCATAGAGCCCGATGCAGTGCTAGAGTTCACAAGCCATGAGATCATGACCTGAGCCGAAGACAGATGCTTAACTGACTGAACCACCCAGATACCCCCAGATCACTCAGTTTTAAAAGGACCAGCCAGAAATGCCTGGGTGGCTCAGTCAGTTGAACACTGGAGTGCCGATCTTGGCTTAGGTCATGATCCCAGAGTCGTGGAATCAAGCCCCGAGTTTAGCTTGGAGCCTACTTAAAATCTCTGTCTCTCCCTCTGCCCATCCCCCTTGTGCACACACACTCTCTTTAAAATAAAAAAAAAAATTAAAAAGGATCAGCCAGTATAATTTTAAAATGTGAGATTATGAATAAATTATCTCTACTTCACACAGATTCTGCTTGATGATCCTATACTTTATTGTTTTCAAGTTATTTTGAAATAATTGCAGACATACAGAAAAGCTCCAAAAACACTACACAGAATACCTGCATACCCTTCACCCAGCTTTCCCCAATGTTAACATCTTATGTAAGCATACCATAAATATCAAAACTAGGAAATTAACCTTGGTACAACACCATTAACTAAACCACAGACCTTATTAGAATGTCACCAGTTTTTTCACTAACATCCTTTTCCTATTCCAGGACTCAGTCCATAATTCTGCATTAGGGAATACCTAGGAGTATGTACCTAGGACTCAGTCGATAATTCTGTTTCATTTAATTGTCATGTCTTCTTTGTCTCTTTCCGGCTTTGTGACAGCTCCTCAGTCTTTCCTTCTCTTTTATGACCTTGACATTTTTTAAGGGTACCGATCAGGTATTTTGTAGAATGTCTCTCAGTTGGGGTTTTCTGATATTTTCTCCTGCTTAGATTGAGATTCTACTTTTTTGGTAAGATTACTACAAGAAGTGATGCTGTGCCCTTCTCAGTATTGTATCAGGGTGTCCAAGAGTTAATATGCTAGGTTTCTGTACTATAAAGTTACTGTTTTTCCTTTAGAATGTCTTAGAAGAGATACTGTAAAACTATGCAAATATCCTGTTTCTCCTTAAACTTTCATTTACTAATTTAATTATGGCATTCATTGGTAGATCTTGCCTGCAATATTAATATGTTTGTCTAATGATGATTTTGTATTTCCTTCATTTCTTCTCCATTTATTAATTGAAATTCTTCCAGAAAGAAAACCTGTCCCTTCTCCCCAATTTATTTACTTATTTATTCAATTACCTACTTCTATCATTAGGGGCTCCTGGATATGTATTTTATTCTGTGGGTTATAATCTATTATTATCTTTGTTTACTCGGTTCTTCAAATTGTTCGAACTTTAGCCATTGGGAAATCTTTCAGGTTGATTTCAAAATATTTCCATTGTTTTGGGGGCACTTCCTTTCTTTTTGGCACCATAGGACATTCCAGGCTCATCTTGTATTTTTCCTGTCCCAGCTCTGGAATCAACAACCACTTCTACATGAAACTCTGGTTTCTTTATTGGAAAATAGTGTTTAGAAACCAAGATCTTTTTTTTTTTTTTAATGTTTTTATTTACTTCTAGGGGAGAGAGAGAGACAGCATGAGCAGGGGAGGGTCAGAGAGAGAGGGAGATACAGACTTTGAAATAGGCTCCAGGCTCTGAGCTGGCAGTCAGCACAGAGCCCGATGCGGGGCTCGAACCCACGAACCGCGAGATCATGATCTAAGCGAAAGTCGGACGCTTAACCGACTAAGCCACCCAGGCGCCCCTACCAAGATCTGAATAGTAGGTGCTCTCAGTGCTAACTGGGGTGTCAATGCATAGCAGACAGCTGAGAAATATGTGTGTATAGTAACCCACACATGCACCCACATTATTTGTATTTCTGTGTCTGTCTATCTGTGTACATATTAAAATCCATAAGTTCATACTGGTATCTCTAATTCCAGCGCAGTAACACAGGGTCATGCTATCCTTCCCTCTTCCTTGTTTATATCTTATTTCTATAACTGTATGTTTATTAAAATAATCATGAGTTCATAATGATACCTTCAACTCTAATCCAGCACCACAGGTTTCAGTGTAGCCCATCCCCCTTGCTGACTTGGAATTTTTTTCAGACAGTGAGATACCTGATGCTTATTATTGAAAATCTATTTACTTATTTAATCCTAATATACTATAAAAGTAGTTGAGGAATTGCCAACTCATACTGCTGTGTAAACAAATAATACTAACAGAGTCATTTTTTAGTCTTATGCATCCACGATATTGCTAGTTAAGTTAGTTCTGTTCTTTCCCTTCTGCTGCCCCTTCTCTGTGGTGTGATTGTGTTGTTCATTTGTAATATTGTCAGTGAACCTGTAATTTTGATTTCTTCAGTGTATATGAGTGTAACTGAGAAATGGAGAGAATCCACCTACCAGACTCCTCCAGCTTTTACATCGACTTGGCTAGAGACAGGACAGTCCTCTGGTAAATGCCATAGAGTAGCTCGTTACCTTGGCCCTAGTCCACATTCCTACCCTGGTTCTGAAGGAACCGAAAGCTGCCCTTAGGTAATGAAACTTAAACACTCAGCAGCCTAAATATGATCACAGGATAAGAAGGGGGGAAATGCCTAGCTGGCTTGCAGTGAGCGACTAGATTACAGGAAAGTCTTGTCAGCACCCTCAAAATGGTTCACTGGCAGAAACCCAACAGCAAGCTACATAGGGTATTTACAGGAAGACTTTAAAGACTCTGTTTCTAGGAGTTGTTCTAGTTCAGTCTCCTTTAATTCTTGTAATTCTTTGTGCTTGGCTCTGGATTATATTTGTTCCCCCCACGCCATCTCTTAACATTACATTTGGGCCAAGTTATTTAATAGGAGACTTTCTGAGAGAAACTGAGCAGGCCCTCTTATCCAAACACAAGTTCAGGTGCAGCACCATGCATGGATCTTTCCCACATATTTCATTGCCAGATCTCTCTGTTTTATTAAAACCATCTGTTTTTACATAGAAACTTTCTACTTCCATTTTCTCTCCTATTTTCTCTTTGATCTTGCAGCGAAATCTCTTGGGGAGAT